CTCCCATGAGAGTTCCTTGGAATTTCCATGGAATTTGTGCTTTCGAGTTGTTTGTGCTCAAACGCATTTTCTCGTATAATACCCCGTACACTTTGAAATGGCGATGCCACAATTTACCCAGCAGCAGAGAGCTTTTATGGTAAAAGAGTTCCTCCGTAGCAACAACATAAACTTGGTTCGCCAAAGTTTCAAGAATATCCAGATGTACGATGCCCTTCACGTGCGAATACGTGAAGGGCATCGTACACAAGTCTGGATATTCGTTCGTGAAACTTTGGCGAACCAAGTTTATGTTGTTGCTACGGAGGAACTCTGATACCATGCATAAAAGCTCTCTGCTGCGGGGTAAATTGTGGCATCGCCATTTCAAAGTGACGGGGTATTATACGAGAGAATGCGTTTCAGCACAAACAACTCGAAAGCACAAATTCCATGGAAATTCCACGGAACTCTCATGGGAGTAAAAATGAATTCATAATGAAGCAAGAACAGCACCAACAGAGAAAAATGTAACGTTTTCATAGGCTTTTCGGAGGATTTGTACTCGGTAAAATCCTGCCGAAATTTTATCATAAATGCAACAAATAGCGAACTTTTCATACATGAACTCAAATGAAGAATACCGTTTGTCATTTCCGTGCGCAAGCCACTTTTAGGAGAGCAAAAGTTGACCACCCCTCTGGATAGCAAAATTTACTATTTTCAAATTTTTTTATATTTTCCATAATTTAAGAACTCAAGCAATCCATACATATAAAAAATTACATTTCATGAATAGAATTGTGGAATTGAGAGCGATTTCAAAATTGTCTTACTTTTTTTGATACACCCTGTATAATATAATGTGTAATGTGTAGTGTAATAATGTAATGTAATGTAATCAGTCGTTCTCTCTTGATGTTTTCAGAATGATTCTGTCGTAACAGCGGAAAAAGAAAAGATGGATGGGGAAATAAAACTATTTAAACAAGAAAAGAAAACGTTTGATGAGGAGAGGAAAAAGTTTACAGAAGCAGCTATCAAGTTAGGGCAAGAAGTAAGTTTTGTTTTATCACTAGCTGTCAGCTCATAAGAGAGTGTACTGTAGGTATATGGCATGTAATGAGATATTGTTGACATCCACAATGGTTAGTTCTTGTGCCTGTCACCCCTGTGAATGAGAAGGTCTGCTTCTCCCTCTCTCAGAAACCTTAATAGAACAGTTAAGTATGCAAAAGTGTCAACTTCACGAGCCAGAGCCTCCAAAAATAGCCAAAGATTTGAGAATCAGTTAAAAGTCCAGTTCAAAAACCTGCTGACAAATGTATGATAGACACAATCTATCTCCGGCTTCCAATATTCATGTTGTTTCTAGTAGCGGAGACGTCACGAAAAATGGGGGGGGGCATATGATAACCTGTTGTTGCTGGAATTCCCAGTTCATAAACAGTTATTCAGCTATCATTCGAAAGCGGTTGTCTCCCCCTCCCCCCTCTAGTGTCCACCAGTGGCGTTTTAAACAGTTCGTCGTTGCCACACGTTAGGATTGACTTTTTTGGCATGTTAAATTTGTAATGTTATTTAATTACTTTTTAGAGAGAGCGATTTAACGAGGAAAGAGCACTCTTCCTGAAGCAACAGTTGCTGAATTCTTCCCCAAGTCCAAAGAACGATAAAGTTCGAGCAAGGAAGAGAAGTGAGTACAACTACTTGTATATTTGATATAGCTTGTATTCATTCATTAATTCTCCAGAACTTGTTAATTATTCCATGTTCGGTCAGTATTGAAAAACGCAGAATATGCATGGTAGTTTAGATTATTTTAATTGATAGAACGCCCGCACTATAGGCCGTTTCAAATTTTTCTCTCGTGATAACATTTTTTCTTGTTTGTTCCAGCTGAAGAAGATGAAAGTAAATCTCCAAGAGCTCGTACCCAGACCCCAGTATATTCAGCGGCGCCTCGCAACAACGATGTTGAACTAAGCAGTAGAAATGACAGAATATCTATGGCTACACCAAGCACAGCGGATCTGTATAGTGTTATGAATTTAAGAACGAAGACAGAACACCTTGCTGAAGAGTATGTGAAATTGATAAATATTCAACCAATAGATCTTTACGTTATTCTAAAATTTAGGCATTTCACTCGACCGAAATTTTAAGCGTTGTTTCGTGGACCCACTTTATCACCCAAATGACTCTACAATCACAAGCGACAACTTGACATTTAAAATTTTACGATTCGTAAAGCAACTTATCTACAAATCGATCTTTTCAATCGTCAACTCGTAAAACGGTTCTGGATCTTGCCGTTTTGACAGTATTGGACTTGGTTTTTGAGACAGGGATAGCTCAGTCGGTAGAACATTCATCTAGAGATCGAAAGGTCCCGGGTTCAATTCCTCGCTGCGCCATGACCAACTCAGCGTACGAGTAGCATGGTTTTCACGTAAAACTGCACTGTGCGGTTAGCTGGCAGCAGGTGTGGCAGTGGTGGATTTATGTGGGGGGAGGGGTGCACAGGGGTGTGCACCCCTGTTGGCCTTGGTCAACAGGGGTGCGCAAAAAAGTAAATTTATATCTTAATTGTTTGAGCTATTCACAGTTTGTTATCAGTCTTAGACTAACTTAAATTTTGGAATTCAAGGCAGCACCACAGCACTAGTACAAAATACTAATAAATCCAATATTAATAATTAATTTAGTTTGATACTTTGATTGAAAATTTTGCTGGAAACAGCTAACATTACAAGTATTTGATAATGAAAATAAAAATTAGAAAAGCGACCAATATTCAATGTGAAAAAAATTCCATTTTCTCTTTCACACAATCACAGTATCAAGGGAATCTGGGATTTATCTTTTATATAATTATTAAATTATATTTATTCAACATATCTGTAAATTGTAACTGAGAAACTATATAGGTGCACTTTCATGACAGTATGGTGCTGGCCAGCGCTGGGTTCGGTGTGCTTGGCTGCTCGCCCAGCACCCCCTTAAAAAAACCTTGCTGGATCCACCACTGAGGTGTGGCGCTCCGCCCCAGCAAAACATCTCCCTGGTCTAGTGCTAGCGAAAAGCTAAGCGGATAGACTCCCTCGCCGTACGGCTGATACCGATATTCTCCGACCTACTAGTACTTACTTATGGTTGGAAATCACAATAACCAGTCCCTAACTGAATGATGATTTTTTGTTATTCTTTATCCAGAACTCCAAGACGAACATGGAACGGAGGTTCACGATCAAATAGCCAAAATTCTGGCAACACTGATGATGTTGTTATCAATGAAAATCATTTATCAACTAGGAAGACAAAACGAATTGGAGAACATGCACGAAAAATAAAGAAAGCTCTTTTAAAACAACACAATAATCAGTTGGAGAGTACAGATAATTCTAGTAAAATGTCATAGTAGATTATTTATAATAATATAGATTATATGAAAAATGCGTAGTACAGTAGTGTCTCTTTAACATTGTGGCATATTGGTAATTTGGTACGCCGTAAAATATTGTAGAAAGTGTAAGATAGTGCTAATAAAGCTATTTAGTTATGTATAGAGTAAAAATCACATTCCTGGTTTGATTTCTAAGTTATAATGTATTTTAATGAATAAATTAACCAATCCTTGCGTAAACCCTCTATTAAACCACTTCCCCTCAAATACGTCACTACTCTCTAATAAGGACGCTCTCTATTAAGCCACCTTCTCTGTTATTAAAGGTGTGTAAATGATTTACTGCTGTTCTATACCACTCCTTAAAGGTTCAAAATATGGGAATGACTTCCACCTGATGCCTCTTGCTACCTTTATTGTTACCCTAATTATTTTCAATATGAACATTTTCAAGATAGTACCCTATTACCTTATATTAGAGCTGCATAGCCTTGACTTCATTCGTTCGAAAAGGCAGAAACTTCTTAATATTAATTGTATAAGACAGAATAAAATTCAAATGAGAAATTTAAGAATCATAATTAAATTGAAGTCAAGGTTATTCAAATCAGCTATGGCAAAGTTAACCTTATTCTTAAGATTACTATATAGTAAAAACTTGTACAAACTTACGTTTGGCTAAACTTTTGAGCATGAGGGGCACAAGTGTTTGATAAATTACCCCTTTGATTGTGATATAGTGAGGGGGTGGTTTATCTGATTAGGTGTAAGAAATGTTTAAAGCTTTATAATTATATAGATTATAGGTAGTACTATGAAAGTGGTATGAGACTGGTAAAAGAAATATTGCAGGTGAGCACTTGTGAGCTGTATGCTCATTTTTTTGAGAAGGATCATGCGGAGTTGGAAGATGTCTGGCGGTCAAACTTTCCTGAATCCTGTTTATATATCTAATCTCTAGCATTGCAGTAACATACATAAACAAGTCAAGATTATTAAAGGAACGAAACGAGTGGTTTATTTAGTTGGGCTTATAGATCAAATCCGCTCTGAGATCAGTAAACCTTGTATTATTGCACCGCATTAAATAGTGCATGCTGTTCGTGTCCGACCTCGTTTAAATCCACGCAATCTGTCGCAATGTTGACAAATTCTTTTATCGTATACTGTACAGTATATATAATATGGTTTCTTTAGTTGCCTCCCGCCTGGTCATCTTGCTCGACGATATTATTTAGATGCGCGCACAGCGTTTACGTTGTGTTTACATTACTATGTATTGGCATCAAGATGGATATTAAATTCTGCAATGTACAGTATATATATTACTAAGGTATATGCTTCTGCTAACTGATTTTAAGGTTTCCTTTAATTGCGTCGCAACATTTCTTTAGTTACTTGCCGCCTGGCCATATCCTGCTGCGTTCTTGACTTTAGTTCGAAGTTCGGACGCATAATATGAAGAATTTCGGTTAAATATTCAGTTGGGCATATTATCAAAGCAGGGTTTATTTTAACGTGCAGTTCTACACAAAATGTGCAGTTCTAAACCCATTTTTTGCAGTTCCTAAAACACAAATGTGCAGTCACCGGCCAAACTAACAAAAATAACCTTAATTAAAACAGTCTTCTCATTTACTTGTTACCCTTGTGGATGCTCCAGAAAATTTCAGAAATGCTGTCATTAATTGAGCATCAAGAATATAAACGTTTTCTGGGGGAGGACTCCAGATGCTCCTATTTTCCTCACAAATCACTTGCGTGTTGGGGTAATGGAAGAGAAGGTAAAATTGGGGCGAGCGAAGCTACTCAAAAGAGATTAGAATGGGAGAACCTAATATTCTTTGCTGCCTCAAATGCAAATTTAAGGTTGTTATATATTGAATGTCCACGATTCCCAGGTTTTGAAACAGTTTTGTGAGGGGTTGGGTCAGAACTTAAGAGCCTCTAGATTCAAATTGTTTTGGGGAACACCCCCTATAGCTCCCTCACCCAACCACACCATTATTCTGTCACCTAATTGCAGGTAAAAAATCCTTCGACCCCCCCCCCAGTCAAACACCCGTTGCCTTCGTAACATCCCTATATATGCAGTTCTAAATTTTTCTTAAAATAAACCCTCTATAATCTTATATCAAATATTTATTAAAAAAGAACTGATTATTTTAAATACAACAGAGGAGTATGTCGGTCAGGGATGTGTCTTATCCCCGATGTTTATTCAATTTATATGATGAGTTACCTTCGCTCTTGAAAAAACTGATGACTGCGACCCCATAATTTTGCCAAACGGATCATCTCTTAACAGCCTATTTTATGCAGATGACTTAGTATTATTATCTACTAGTGCCACAGGTCTGCAGAACATAATTTTTACACTCTTCATTCTATTAACTATTAACACACTCTCCATGCATAACTAGTCCGAAGGTTCACTAGTACGAAGGTTCACTACTCCAAAGGTTCACTAGTCCGAAGGTTCACTACTCTGAAGGTTCACTGGGCCAAAACATACGCTGGTTTTGAATTGCAATTACGTGAGTTAAACTTGGCTGCTTCCCAGTTAAGCATTTTTCGTACCTGCATACACGCATGGAAAAATTTAAATCCACTTGAAAGTCTTTTGTCCACTTAAAAAATAATTAAATGAATAAAAGGATAGCATGCATTTAGTCAGTTTGTGTTTGATTTTAAGTGTATTTTTTAAAGTAATTATTTAGAAAGATTTAAACTTTTCCGAGTGTATACGTACGTGAAAAAATGCGCAACTTGAAAGCAGCCTTAAAGGGGCAGTGTCACCGTCTGCGCATCTCTTCTGCGCATAGCAAACTTTCAAGTTAATGAATCAAGATGGCGGCCATTTACGAGTGAGTGCATTGCAAGATAGGCAAAAATTGCGGCACATATAGGTACATACAAGGCTGATGAAACTCTCAAAATACTACGATAGGCAGCACAAAAGCTTATAACGACTCCTGAATATATTTGAGGCAAAAACCATGATAAATCGGGACGAAACCATTCACGTTCACGAAGCGATATCAATTTCGCTGTCGTAAAAGGTAAAATAATTGAATTCATAAATAAGCTAAATCAATTTAGAAATATATAGCATAGG